CAACAACGTAGGTATAGGTACATAAGTACCTGGTACTACTTTCCTACCTAGTTTTTATAAAATTAAGATGAAGGAACTGGGCTGATATCGCAGCAAGAACGAATTATGATTGCTATGACCTACAACACTAAGTTAATACGGCTCATTAGGTTAAAACTAATCATCCATTTAACTACTAAAATAATCATCCTTCCTTCCTTAACGAACATATATAGCACCCACATAGACAAGGGTCACCTAATTGTCCCATACTCTAGTACGATAAAGGGTTTAGAAATAACTGATAGTAGAGACACCAGCTAAACAAGCTTACCCACATTTTCTAACACATTTTCAACTCTACTGCAATTGAGGAATAAGATTCAAAATCGACAAAATTATTTTGAGCTTGACGTTATATTAACGCGAGGGGAGTCGTGTCCGCTTTTGACATTGGATTTAAAAACCTTGTTGACCTCGTGGAATGCGGTACAAACAGGTACATAATATAATAATCGAATCATATTATAGCAGGCTTCAACATAGGTGCAAAGATATTAAGGTAAATTATAAGATAATTACCTACTAATTGTTATTATGATTTAGTGGTCATGAGGACTAGGCTACTACTTAACCAGGTTTTAGGTGCGATCTTGGATAACTTAAAATATGATTGGGTTTTAGTCTCATAAAAATTATATACAGTGGGATTAAAAATAAATAAGATTAAAGAAATAAATAAAGTCCTTAATTCGCTGAAGGGCTGGGCAAAAAGACACCTCTATTTATCGCGAATAGAAAAAAACTTGGGATGAAAAATAACTGCAGACAATATAAAACCACCTGTTGCATGACAAAATGTCATTCTATAAAATAAACAATAAATAAAACACGTTACGTGATTCATTGTCTCCATACTTGATAAAGAAAACAGTTGTAAAGTATTATTTAACACAAACAAAAGTATTTTATATGAATGAATAAATGCATGAAATATTAGCAATTAATAAAAGTTTCTTTTCAACTAAATAAATATAATTGCACTTGCATTCTACAATAAGACAAGATGTTTAAGGTCACAGAGTTTATTTTGCAATAAATGTCACTCCTTTTTTATTAGGATAGTTACTGAGATATAGCTATTAAATTGGTACAGACAGAGTGCTCTATATCATTTTACCATGTTAATCTCCTTGCTTTTGCAAACAAGGAAATTAACATGGTAAAATGTATCTATGTTAACAACCATGACAACATAATCTGAACGTCTTTTCATCATTTATAGGGTTCAGCACTCAAAGGGTAAAATGGGGTCTTATTGCTGGACTATTGTTTGTCAGTGACCTAGCGGAATCTCACGAACGGTGATAATTACATAGTTGTATAAAAGGCCACTTAGTACTTAGTAGTGATTACTTTTATTATGGACTGACATCAAGCCACTTTTTATATGGCCAATTTTCTATTGTTCTGTCTCTGCTTGATAGATTGTAAAATTTAGACTGCATGGTTGGCACGGCGCGGTGGCTGAGCAACCGACTGCCGCGCAGCATAAAAAGGGTTGGATCCGCACAGAGCAATTCTTTGAATGATCCACAAATTGTTGTTTCCGACCTGGGATTGAGTTGGGAAAATGAACTTGTATGTTTGCAAACATACACACGACTCACGACACAGGAGAAAATCCTAGTGTGACACATTTTTTTTTTAAATAAATATTCATTTGGTTTATTTCCTTACTTTCTTTGAGCCTTTTCCTTACTTTTATTTCATATAACATACCTTATACTAAACGGTTTTATTTAGCTAGCCTCATTTGTTTTTTAAGGTCAAATTTAGTCATTGGAATTTCACCCCCTTACTGACCAGTTAAAACCAGTTAACATAAAACATTTTTTTATGTACCCATTACTTGGTACTTTATTCAAGTAACAGTAATAAATATACAAAAAACACTTACTATTCTTATCTGGATGTACTTGAAGTCTATAAATCCATTCTATTATTCTCGTCCTTAGATCCAAAGACACTGTTGATATCGCACCAAGAACATCTAGCCCAGACACAGAGAAATATGCAATTGTTACTCTGAAATAGAAGATATAAGATTTAAAATAGAATGCACATGCACAAAATATAGCAGGAAGCGAATGTACATGTACAAAAACTCAATAAACGTAAAATAAAACATTTAATTTTGTTTCAATTATACCGTTCAACCTCTGTGCACATGGTAATTACTGAATAACTAATTTAAATTGTACTTTTTTTTATCCCATCAAGAATCATTGAATTGTAAAACTAAATATCAAGGTTTAACAACACTACCTTAAAATGTAGTTGGTTAATAATGTGCAACTAAATAATTTTTATTGTAGGATAAATAATATCTATGACAAACCTATTTTACAAACAAAATTTTTTATTCATGATTTTAATACTGTATTGACAGTTAATTTCTTTAATTAGAAATGTATTGTAATATAGAAACATACCATAATAGCACAAAATACGTGATGTCGTAAATATGCACAACAAAACTAGTGATTATTAAACAAACAGGTAAAATATTCTTATCATTTACATTATTTAATGTTAATAAATAAAGAACATTTTTGCTTGGCAAATGAATTAAGTTCTTAAACTAATGCACAGTTACTAAACTATTAAAATGTAAATGATGAACAGGTGGGTCGATTTCAAACAGAGCTAAAAATGTTGTCATCTCCAATAACTTTACTTTTTTTTGCGATTACTTTTGATTTTTTTTTTAATATTATAGTCTTCATTCACTTTTTTAGGTTCCAAAACAAAACAAGGCCTAAAAGTGTGAAAATGGCAAGAAAACTAAAACTATAACATTTAGTCCTTATAGAAGATAATATTCATTTTCCGATAACGTTGAAATAAAGTCGTTTAGTAACGAAGTTCCTCGTAGAAATTTTATGTATTTATTATTGTATATCATGATGATGTGCGAGCATTTAAAAATAGTATATATTTTTTATTTAAGAATTATAGAATATACATATCTTAGTATTTTAAACATTGATTATGGTTTAACTGTCATTAGTGTAGCGTAAGTTAATATCGTCATAATATTAAATCCACGGAGCTCCCGGGCCCCCGCCTCACCTCATCTGCCGTCACATCGTCAGTGGCCTTGCAGTGTTTATTCAGAGTGGTAGTGCGTTTCGTATTTTTTGCAAGATATTCATATTTCTAGCGATTTCAGTGCTGTGGACCAAACTCGACTCATTCATCTCTTAACCAAAATTACAAAAGGTATTGTAATTGAGTTTTTATAATACAGTGTTTCTTATAGCTAACAAGAACATGGATATTTTAAATGTATTTGATTGCTGTCTAGAAAGTTCCACAAGCTTAAAAATCTTTTGTTTGTTTGAAATATCATTAGTGTTACTATCATTTGTGTCAATTTTTCAAGTAACACTAATGAAATTGAAAGTAACACTAATGAAATATTATAATAATGGATTATTAACAAAAAAATTGTGCTTTTCGCCTGATTACGTCAAACACAGTTTGTTTTTTTTATATTATTTTTTTTTGTGTGTGATGTGAGGAAAATCAATGGTTATATTTACATGATTATTTACGAAATTTGCTACAAATTATTATCGGTGTTTATATTTTGAGTTTCTGTGTTGCTTAGTGTAAATAAGCTAGGGCTTATTTAAAAAAAATGGCTTAATTTTAGGAAAAATAATAATTTTGTTTTAGGACATTATGCCGAATAAGAAAACGATGAGTGAAAATGAGTTAGAAAGAAGAAGAATAGCAAGGAGAGAAAAATATAAACAAATTAAAAACGACCCAGAAAAATACATCGCCGAAAGAGCTAAAAAAAGAGAAGCTTATCTAAAGCGAAAAGAGAGTAAGAAGGTGAAAAGCATTAACGAAATGTCTCCAAGAGAGCAAAGGGTACAACGGAGAAAATGGAGGGAAAATTCCAAGCGCTATTATGAAAAGATATTAAAAGAGAAAAAGATACAAGAGGTGATTGTCCCAAGAACTGAAATAGACTCTACAGCCGAAGATAAAACTATCGACCCGTTGAAAAGACACGATGCAGAACGACAATATAAGTCACAAAACAAAATCTTGTTGAATAAAATTAAGGTTTTAAAACGAAAACACCTCATGGAAAAAAAAGAAATGTCTTGTCTAATAAAAAAATACCAATACAGGTGCAGAGTTCTATTGCGAAAAATTAATATTATGAAAAATAATCACGAAAAAGAAAATGTAGATAGTGAAAAAACTGGTAAGATATATGCAGTCACAGAAGATAACACCAAGTCGAATACTGTTTGTCGAAAACGAAATTATGACCTCTACAGAAAGTGCCTACGCAGCCGTTTACAAAAGAAGATTTTAGGAGGCAAAAGTATCCAAGAGTTAGTGGAACGATTTTATGAAGATGATATCAATAGCCGCAATACTGCTGGTAAAAAACAATGTGTTAAAAAGTTCGGAGTTACTAAACAAAAGCGGTATTTACTGGACTCTGTAAAAAAATTGCACAAAAAGTTTATGGAAGAAAATCCAAACGTTAAAATAAGTTACGTAACATTCGCACGACTTCGTCCGTTTTGGGTTTACCTACCTAGAGATGACAGAGATACTTGTGGTTGTACAGTTCACACAAATATGGATATTATAACCTCGATTTTGAAAAAAAAAGGAATAGTTGATATAATTAACTTTCAAAAAATGTTGGATATCTTGTGCTGTGACAAATATAATCTTAAATGTGTTTCTCGTACATGTCAAATTTGTAAAAATAAAGTCATACCATACAACGAGTTCAGTAATCATCAAAAAATAGAATACTATGAGTGGGATAGGGATAAGAAAAAAGTGGGTCAAAAAGAAATTACCATCACTAAGAAATTTAAACGAACAACTCAAATAAGAAATCTGATATTAAAACTAGAGGATTCTCTTCCTAAATTCTTCTCACATACTGCGAATATTATAAACCAATACCAAATTATAACAGAGCTGAAAAAATCCCTGAATGATTACGAAGTTTTAATCCACATGGACTTTTCCGAAAATTATAGCTATAAATTCGCTGAAGAAGTACAAAGCTTGCACTTTGGAGGTAGCCGTGGCCAGATTTCTTTGCACACAGTAGTAATTTATATTAAAAAGGGAAGGGAAACCATTAACTATTCTTTATGCACAGTTAGTGAATGCCCTAGACACGATTCACCAGCAGTGTGGGCTCATTTAGAGAAAGCACTAGAGTTTGTATTTGAAAAATCTCCTAATATAACTACTGTGCATATACTAACAGATAGCCCTTCGAGTCAATATCGCAACAAGTATATATTTTACATCATGACACAGCTGCGAAATGTCTTCTCATCATTAAAATCTGTAACTTGGAACTATCAGGAAGCCGGCCACGGTAAAGGTGCTCCAGATGGTGTTGGCGCCGTAGTTAAAAGGACGGCCGACTACCAAGTAAAATGCGGGCGTGATGTGGGGGACTTCTCAACATTTGTTGGTATTGTGCGAGAAAACGTAAAAAATGTCGAGATAAGGGTTGTAGAAGAACATGAGATTAGAGAAAAAGAAATTCATCTCCCTAAAAACATAGCTCCCTTTAAAGGAACTATGTTAGTACACCAGGTGCTTTGGAACTCCGATTCGGAATTCCTTGAGTTTAGAAAATTGAGTTGTTACGAGTGTGTTGTCACTATTTGTAAGCACGACAAGCACATGCAACTGCATAAAATTTATAAAAGTCCAATAGATTCAGAAGTCGGTAATGTTAAAATCATACCTCCTAATAAGAAGATTAAAATATTGAGCGATATCACCATTAAACACTCCAATAAGCCCTGTAATACTCCAACTTCTCGAATTCACAATGAACAAAACGTTACACCACTTGCTAAAGTTAAAGGTACCTGGGAAAATCAGTCATTCATGATAAATCAGACAGGAGCAATGGCGTCTGGATTTGGGCATCAACAAGAATTTCTTACGTTTTTGAATCAACAACAGGTATCCAAAGATTTATTGAACGATTAAGAAAGAATCTTTGTGATGAAGGTATTATTAATGAGAATAGAAGCAGAAATCAAGATTATTTTTATACAATCAATGATTAAAACCAAAGAATAACAAGACAAAAATCAGCAAAATTATGGATAGATTAATCAATACATAGTATAAAACAAAGTCGCTTTCGCTGTATGTCCGTATGTATGCTTAGATCTTTAAAACTACGCAACGGATTTTGATGCGGTTTTTTTTAATAGATAGAGTGATTCTTAAGGAAGGTTTGTATGTATAATACATGCATATTGCACCCGTGCGAAGCCGGGGCGGGTCGCTAATATTGAATATAACATAGAAGACTTAGAAAACGAATCAATACTTCAGTATTTTTTAGTTTAAAGAAAACTACTGTTTTTAATTATACGGATAATTTTAGTTTATGTGTTTAGACTGCGATTAGTTGTTATATATTTCTTTGAAGATCGTGATTATTTCATATATATTAAATTTTAATCCAAAAGTTCCTCTAAGAAGACTGAAAAATTATATATGCACCCAAATAATACTTTTACGATTGTTAAGGTTATATGATTGTTACATTAAACTGATTTAATCCATTTGGGATAGTTTTATTTTAATTTTCTCATAAATATACATCGCAAAATTATTAAAATGAGTGGTTACAGTTGTTTTTTTTTTATTATCATTAGTGGAAATCTAATCTCATTAGTGTTTTAGATAATTTCATTAGTGTAACAACATCACTCATTCATGTCACTCAAATTTCAATTTTTTTATAGTTTTTATTGAAAAATCATTGTTATTTTATTTAATTTATGTTAATATAACCTCACAAAGTGAGGTTACACCACTAGTAACCCAAGAAACGGGTATTTAAGAAATCAAACAAAAAAGTGTCATTTTAATTCGAAATATGAAATCGACCCAGGTATCGCTTTATTCTTTTACTTTTTACAATCATATTTGTTTCAAAGTCTCAAATGAGCACAATTTTATTATCTCTAAGTATATTGATTAAGATTCTTGAAACTTGACTTGCAGGAATAATTAATTAAGTATTAATATTGATAGACCTACCAACAGCAAGCAAGTACCAATCTAACTTTTTCCAAGTTAATATGCACTTTTTAAGATAGACACCACTGACAAATGGTGAAAGAAAACATTGTGACAAAACCTGGGCTTATAACTTCTAAATTATGAGTTTGAAATAACCAACCCACATTGAGCAAGCATGGTAATTAATACCCCAACCTTCTCCTTATGAGACTAATGAGACTAACCCTTTAGTCAGCATTGACAACTTATGGGCTGTCGCTAAATACACCTACAATATTCTCCTACTAGACCCATCAATTTCTATTCCATGTTTATTTAAATATGCATAAAATTATTTAAATATTATAATCATAATTCTTATATTCGTCATGAATTACTTAATCTGTTTAAAGTAGTTTACCTATAGTATGTTGATGTGACTATATTGCCACAATTGCAAATTAGGGTCAATTTTCCCTATAAATCATGCTCCCATTCAGACTCAATTGCTTTAAATAATGTCCATTTCGTGATAGCATGCTGCTATTAAAATAATATTGACTTGTTAATGTATGTACATGGGTGCACCATACAGAAACATAGACCATAAACTTTAAAAAAAAATGGTCTAGTTAATTACTTTTACTTTTAAAATTAAATTAAGGTGTGTGTATTCTGTAATCAATTAAACTATTTTTAAACCTAATCATACTCGTTTTTATAACTAAATTAATATGATTCTTATGATAATTTTATTATAGGTAAGTACTAATATTGTAGCTTTTTAAAACTGTGAATGCTTCATACATGGCAGTGACCTCGACAACTAGGTACTGTAAATAAGTTGGAGCTAGACAAGGAGCTGCATTGAGTGTTAAAGTAATAAATGAATGTAAGGAGACTTATCAAACCCATAAGTTATCAATTATATTTATTACCTGGTAGTATCATGTGACGACAATGACGAAGGTAAAATGTTCAGAAATCTCATAAAATATTTCACATGCTGCCGGTGAGCCATAATTTTATTCTCTTCGTGATTCATTTTAGATATAAACTTTACTCCAAGTCAAACGTAAAACAATTTGTATAAGTGAAAATATACACTCAAATCAAAATTAAATGGACAGAGCCGATACACTTATTGTTTAGAAACTATTCCAAACTATCATTTATATACTAATTTATTTCATTTTTAATTTTGTCCACTCATTAATTTATCGACACGAAAACTCAGACTTGACTTCTGTCTGACACAAGCACAAGACTGACAGAGACCATGACAGAGACACCCAATTTCAATGACAATTTATCAAAGGGAATGACGTTTAACTTGTTCAGAAAACCGAACTTTAAAAACCGATAAATCAAATTATAGCATTAACAGTAAAAAAACCGATAAATCAAAATGTATTAATAATAGTCAAAAATATATCAATTGGTTTAAACAGTTATGTTTGAAGACTTTCACTAGCTGACCCGGCTATATCGCTTCATAAATTTTTTCCTCGCCTTATTTCTCATTTTAAATGTTCCCTGGACTTCCACGAACATTTCAAGACCAAAATTAACAGGCGTTCTCGAGTTTTAGCGATAAGCGGAAATTCATTTTTATATATTTTATATACACTTCTACTGTATACATTTTTATTATATATACCTATATATATACACCGTGAAATATATTTCATTATCGTGCTGCAGTACACAATAACTTCCCATAAATAGTACTTTCGATGTAAAAAACAAAAACAAGAAATAAAGATATCATTATTTTAGTCGAAAAAAAATCATTTAAATTTAAGCAAATGAAACACTGCTACACTAGACGTTAATTTGTAGGCACTATTCGCATGGCACGTGCCACCCGACTAGAAAATACCTCTTAGATAATTATATGGCGTGATGTTTTGATAATGTACGATGAGTTCGTATGAAACGAAATAGATTTCACGATAGGTAGATTGTTAAGATATATAGTTTCCTGTGGCAGTCGATAGCTGAAATATGTGCTTGATTTACATAAGGTCTATCAAAATTGCCTCACACTCTGGACAGAGCAGGTGACTTGAAAATCGTAATTTAAAAGACTTAGAGAGTGAAGAGCACTGTTGCCTTTTTTGCCTGAATTCACTGTCGTTACCATGATGAGAAAGGTGCGTGCCGTACCCGTACCCGGGCTCAGACTTGAGTTACCTTATCAAACTTAAATAATCAAAAACATTTAGAACCGCGACACAAAAAAAAAATTGAATAAAATAATACAAAGCAGCCCAACTATAAAATATTTTTGGTTCATCATCGGTAAGGATGGAAAATTATCAAATTACTATTGTGCAGAAACTGTGCAACTGTGCGCTTCTCACGATGCTTTCTGCCTCGCACAGCAAAACTATAGAATGATCTGTCGTCGGCGGTATTTCCGAATCGATACGACCTTCAAACCTTCAAGAAAAGAGCGTATTCCTTTTTAAAAGGCTGGCAACGCACATGTGACTCCTCTGGTGTTGCGGGGCCGTGTCCATGGGCGGCGCTGATCGCTTACCGGTGATTCGTCTGCTCGTTTGCCTCCTATTCCATAAAAAAAAATAGAGATGGGTGCTTTTTATTCATTATGTAGCGTTACTGGAGAATTTATCAAAAAATAAGTATTTATCCATTTCGAGTACCTATTAACCAAAAATTGCCTATATATATCAGTTAGAAACTGGCTGAAAGTCGTCTCTTATAATACCCATCCCGATGGAAGAATAGGGGCCGTAGGTGGCAAATAATGGACAATTGAATTCTTACCGTACTGACGGCATAGTAGAATACATTTTTTCGATTATACTCGTAGTTTTGGGTATTTATTCGAAAAAACAACCATCTCTACTGCGAGCAGAAAATCTACGTTACGGTTCTGTCCCCAAAAGGTCAGTAAACCAACTATATTAGTTACAATAAATATGATTATTATACTAAATTATGTTTTATTGACTGCTTAATCAAATAAAATGACTGTCCAATTTTTTACTAAAATTCGATTTATATAGTTGATTAGTCGAGTCGGCATAGACAACTAGTACAAACGGTAAACTGTCAGAACTCCATACGCATCTCTTGTCAGCAGAACTATTATTGTTTTTGGTCTTTTTCATGGCTGACGTTCACGGAATCTAACCGCAGTCATGAAGGTTCTCCTAATATTTTTAAATAATTTATATATAATTTAAATGAAATATTGTAATCATGTGTTACTATAATAGTTTACGTAAATGTTCACATAGTTATTTACAAAAACCGTCCTATGATTCTTTGATAAAAAGTTGATCGGATTTGATATATTGTGGAAAGTGAATTTAACATGCCGATAAATAAGTGCCTTGTGGTTTTATAATCAAAGTTTCAAAGTAGTTTTTAGTCCAAATACATAACTATATCGTGTTTAACGGCGGTAATTTCTTTACAACCGAAAAGGATAAGTGTGATTGTTTTCCTAACCTCAATTTGTTTTTGTAGCTGAACGTCTCCTTCCCGGCTACGGGATGTCAAAAGTTGTTCGAGGTAGTTGATGAGCACAAGCTCCGCATCTTCTACGAGAAGCGCATGGGCGCTGAAGTGGAGGCGGATCAACTAGGAGATGAATGGAAGGGCTACGTACTCCGCGTCGCCGGAGGAAACGACAAGCAGGGCTTCCCCATGAAGCAGGGAGTCCTCACCAACAGTACGTAAACGACATTTTAGTCATTAAACTTATTGCTCTGACTTGTTATATCCAATTTTAGTCTACATAACCTTGCAAAATCATGTCTATCATTACTACCAGATAGTTGTCTGTCATGTAACATGTGCTGTTTTTGTTATCCAAGTAAACTATTCACTCTTGTAAACTGTTCTTAACTCTAATACTCTAAATTTGTAAAAATCAAAAGTTCAAACCATTCTACTCTGTTTACTAAGGCCTATAAACTTTTCAGGTCGTGTTCGTTTGTTGATGTCTAAGGGCCACTCATGCTACAGACCCCGTCGTGATGGTGAGAGGAAACGCAAGTCTGTCCGTGGTTGCATTGTTGATGCTAACCTCTCTGTCTTGGCTCTTGTCATTGTACGCAAGGGTGAACAGGTAAATACCATGTTTTTAATACTAATAGTTAAGTAACAACTATATTTATACTGTTACTATTTCCAAGTCAAGTGTATCTTGATTACACATTCATTTGGATGTTATAAAAAAATCATGATGTACTGTGATTTGCTAAACAATTGTCTTTTCGAATGACTGTTTTGATAAAACTGTTATTCGTAGTACTGTGGTATTATAAATAACCTTGTTCTTACTGTTTCTAAGGTAACCAAATCTTAGCAATTATATGCGACAGGGGATAGCAACTGGTACTTGGCATAGCCTGTGGATTATTTGTTCAGAGGCCTTTATCAAATACCATACATTTAATTTTTCTTTATAATAATTATGCTCTCCATCAATGTTTACTGATCATACCTTTGAAATATGGCCAAAATCATCATTCTACCATGTGGTTCTATGTTTATCATGACATGGTCATTATTGTTAACTGCAATCAAGTGTTTGTTTTATTGAGATTGCTCATTATCTTTCCTTTAAGTGTAATCATTAGTGTAGTTAAAATATTTCTCAAATATTCCAATATTGCTAAGCTTCGTAAAGTTAAAATTAATCTCAATTTTTCTTTTTTTGTATGTTCGAATTTCACTAAGCCATTCACTAATTACCTTGGCAATTTTATTTCTTCAGGAAATTCCCGGACTTACCGACGGAAATGTTCCCCGTCGTCTTGGACCCAAGCGTGCCTCCAAAATCCGCAAGTTGTTCAACCTCTCCAAGGAAGATGATGTTCGTCGCTACGTCGTAAAACGTCTGCTTCCCGCCAAGGAGGGCAAGGAGAACGCCAAACCCAGATATAAGGTAAATAACTCTTTAATTTATAATTTGTTTTTTTTTTATATTGCCTCTCACCAGGATTTTGGGTGCATTTACAAATATATACATGTTTTACATACAAATTATGGTCAGATTTAAAGCAACAATGGTTGAATACAAATAGAATTGTTCCATATGGGACTCTCACCCAGGCTCAGCTACCTATTAGCCTACCACTATGCCAACTGTGCAGTTTCATTGATTTTGGGGTGCTAAATATGCAGATTTTTTTAAATTTTTTTATAATTCGTATATTTCACTACATGCTTTTCATTAAAAATTGATGGGATGGTAGCTGTTCTAGTGCCTACAAGACTAAATTGCCAACAAACTGAAATTCCAAAATTTGACACAGATAAGTTACAATAAAAATAGGTATTACTTAATGTTTATTTGGTCTCATATAATATTACGTACACCCTGATTTAAATATTGGTTCTAAACTACTTTAGTTTGGAAACAGCAGCATCAGGGTATATCATATCGGCGCCGAGCAGAAGATTCAGACTCGTGTCTGTCTACTTTTACAGTGTGCTGAACATTTTCTTTTTACTTCTCAAACAATACATAAAATATTCAAAAGAAAATTGTAAACCCATGCATAAATTTTGCAGCCATTTATCAACAACTTTTTACATTGTTTTGGTCAGCATATTATTATAATATCAAATTTTTAAGTTATTAACAATGTATTGTATCTCTCCAGGCCCCTAAGATCCAGAGGCTAGTCACCCCTGTAGTACTCCAGCGCAGACGCCACCGTCTGGCTCTCAAGAAGAAGCGTCTGGCTAAGCGCAAGCAGTCCGAGAATGAGTACGCTAAGTTGCTCGCACAGAGAAAGAAGGAATCTAAGGTAAAGACCATTACTTAAATAATGATTAAAAGGTGAATCTACCACTAAATTTGAATAGCGCTTGAAAAATGTGTAATATATTTGAGTAAATGGCTACTTCGTTACACACAGCGGGTATGATGACTACAAAGACATTTGTAGAAATATTACTTGGCTGTAAGAGTAATGGCTGTGTCTTACCCCTTGGTGTGTCCTTGATGCAGACCAAGGTATTAAATCAGCAACATTTCTTTTTAAATTTTCATCTAAATTTAAACATTTCTAAAATGAATTTGACTTAATATTTGTTTATCTTATTACAGGTAAGACGCCAAGAAGAGATCAAACGCAGGCGTTCGGCTTCAATGCGCGACTCCAAGAGCTCCAACCAGAGTGCGCCGCAAAAGTGATTTACTTTACACAATAAAAAAATGTAAAATCTAAATACAATCTTATTATTTACGACCCTAAGCAATTCCTCCAGAAGAGCAAAATTACACTGCCTATTGAATAGGAATTGATAAAAAAGATGAGAATAGGTAGGTATCTATTCTCTTCTTTTTACATGTATGGGTCGACTCACACCGAAAGAGCGGCGAAGGGCAGCGAACCGGAGCGTAGTTTCAGTTTCATATGAATTTTAAGTTTATTATCATTACATTTATTATTATCGCATGAGAAACTCGAACGAATCGCGCGGCGCCGCAGGAATTCCGGAGAATTCCATAAACTGAGCCGAGCGACTGCGTGAGAAGTTGCGGAAAGTCCCGAGAATGTTCGAGCAGCCACTGGCAATATCCCCCCTTTCGCGCGCGACTCTTGCGCTCGAGCATTCGCATTCATTCCTTTCAGTGCAACAATACAGAAGTGATGGAAGATGAAGAAAAGCTTATTTGTTTGGTGCAAGTATCCTCGAGTTTTGTTGAAATTGAACTGCGCATAGGAGAGCGACCCATGAATTCATCGCGGGTGGGCTCGGGATCGGGAATCCCCGCGCCTTCCCGCGACTGCTTGAGAAGTCGCGGGACTACGTGACTCCGCGCTTCGCTACCCTCCGCCGCTCTTTCGGTGTGAGTTGACCCTAATTTGTATCAACTGTAACTATGGGCCACCTTTGCTCTTGCTCAAAGAGTGGAGTTTATGTGTAGACAAAGGGCGGTTGTTGTATTTAAGAGCTTTAACATTCGTGTTACTCACCAGATGGCACTATTGTTTGTCAGGGTTGTCCTCTTATCTGGACATTTTTCAAATATTTCCGCACACATAAGATTTTCTCTTATGTTAAGTCGTGGGTGCGTTTACAATCATACAAGTCCACATAGTACTTTTAACACTCATTTTGTTATGTTACCTATGTATGTTGAACCAGTGCCGGATTAAGCCAGCACGGGGCCTGTAGCAAATGCTGTCAAGAGGCCCTTGGTTTGCTACCTATCAGTTCTCAAATTTAGGGTATTAAATAAAAAACTGTTACAAATAAAGTTTTCTGGATTTATTATGGGCAAATTTAGCGATTACACTTTCAATATCGAAGCAGCATTTCGCGACCTACGACGCGGCGTGTGCGCGTGAATCACGGCATAGGGCGCGCTGGGCCCGCAGACTCGAGTAGCCAGTAGCAGCGCCACAGTCGCCGCGTCGCGGGTCGCGAAGTGGTGCTCATAAATATGAGCCTCTAGCATGGCTTGAAACTAGTCGAGTTCCTCGTCAAATTATTACGTGAGTAAGCCGAAAATATAATCATTTATTTAACACATAACTTGTGTGTGGCTAGTGCTCAATTTAAAAAATGTGGTACAATTTCAAATTATCGTTTTTCGTGATTTTCAAAGTCAAAGTCAAAGTCAAAGCATTTATTTCAATTAAACCATAGTTTGGTACTTTTGAAACGTCAACAAATACAAAATAAATAATAGTCTGTCAGTCAGTCCGTCAGTGAAGCTAGGTGAAGCTAGGTGCTCATTCCAAAACGTAGATTCGAATGGAGAAGAACGAGCAAGAAACTCCATTCGTGATAGATATTATACCTAGAGGTGAGGCGGAAATAGCTATGCGCGCAGTTCGGGTCGGCTCGGTTCGCCCGCCAATGGCACCAACCGAGCGGACAAATAGTCACTTTCCTTTTCTTACACATACAAAATACAGACTATTTGTCTTTTTTCCTTTATTTCGTTAAGAAAAAAATCAAATTACTTGTATTTTGGTAGTAGTTTTGTAAACAAAAAATTTTCGTCATAAGTCTTGCTGTTGAAGTGGTGTAATTACGAAATAACTATTTGAGCGCGGGGCCCTCCAATTCGCGGGGCCCGTAGCATTTGCTACTCTTGCTACGTGGCTAATCCGGCACTGTGTTGAACATAACAGACTCGAAATAATATGTGGATCATACAAAGAGTTGCTCTGTGCGGGAATCGAATTCGCTACACATTTAGATAAGCTAGAATTAGCGTTATCTGGTGAATAGGAGGGATAATAATTTCCATAACAACAAAATCAAAAAGCAGGAATGAATAAAGAAAAGTGGCATTTAACTTTATAAAATATTTATTACCATAAATAGATATATAAAATAAATATTACTTACAAACCACTCGTCAATTTCAGACTATCACAAACTTCAATAATTTATGTCAATTAAATAATTTAAAACAGCACACGTTTTAATTTTTAGCATTTTGCCGGCGGTTTAAGTAGTCCGAGGCCCACATAGCGTGCCATTACTCTGAGATACGATGGATTTAACTTCTTACGTTTCTCCAACAAAGACTTCAGAAGCCTTTCTGACGATTCATCAAAAGGTCTTTGATAATCTGAAGCCTGTTAAGGAGAAAAAAAAAATACTTTTATAATATAGGTACCTAGCCTATCTTTAAAAACGCAAGCATGATATAAAGCCGGTGTTTAGTTCTTAGCCATGTAACATTAAAATCAATCAGCGTCCTCTGGTGTAAAAAGAATTCTACTTATTTCATTTATCATGGTTCTACTATGTGAAAAGAAAACAATAAAATTAATAAAAATATATCTTACAGTAGTCTTAGCTATCCAGTATAACTCTTCTAAAAGATTGTCGTATTCCGTAACAGAAGCCGGCAAATAAGATATTCCATCGAACTACGAAAAAAAAATCGAAGTTGAGTTAAAAAATTAAAAAGTATTAGGGATGTGTCGTAACCGAGTGGGCTTTATGCTTCGATCAACAATAACAACTAGATATCGGGTCGACGCAAGAAAATCGTCTCGACAAATAAGAGCTCACTTGAGAAGTGAGCTCTTATTTTGTTTAGTATGCTCCAAACACGGCCAACGTACTCACGTCTCGCGATGCCGCAGTGCATAATTGCAAGTTGCAAAAATAATAACCGAAAAAGCAGTATAACGGCCGGAGTGTCTTACTTTTGATAAGTACATAAAATATAAGTTATATTTTATGCTTTTAAACTAGTAAATAATATCAAATTAGTCAAAATTACCAATTATAAACCAACGCCACCAATGTTTGTGCGTGTGTTGGTGATTCCTTGGCCAAACCTCGCCAACACGCGCACAAACATTTGTTTAAACAGAACAGTGGATGCATGGAGTCCATTTGTATTGTAAAATAAAATTGTATTGTAACCTGATTGGAAATGAGTATCTAACCTATGGAGTTTATTGCTCGTTCTTCTCTATAGGAATGTACACCTTGGAATGAGCAATTAGCTTCACTTTAAAATTTATATTGTTGACGTACCTATGGAGTTTATTGCTCGTTCTTCTCTATAGGAATGTACACCTTGGAATGAGCAATTAGCTTCACTTTAAAATTTATATTGTTGACGTTCGTTCCTGGTCTAACCGAAATAAATGATCTTGACTTAGACTTTTAATGATAAAGTAAATAAACATATCATACACAAAAACATACCGATAATAAAAATAAGTGATGTACCTATACTAAGATCCCGAAATCTTAATTTTTATATTATAAAATTATTTTAGTGTCCAACGCGACTCCATACGTACCTCCTGTAGCAAAATTCGAAATTTGAAGAAGCAAAACGAAACAAAATAAAACGATATAGATGGCAAGACAATAATGGAAAAATTATCTTTATTTGTTCAATGTTAAGGTTGAATTCAAACTAGATATTGTATAACTTATGTCTTTTAATTTCTACATGACAGGAGTAAGAAAATACTTTTCTCGTCTTATGTGACAAATAGTCGTAAGTATTAGATAATATTTTGACGATTTATGACTATATTATTAGGTACCATGGTTGTTATTAGGTTGAACTTAAAACTATTTTAAAACATTTTTCTCTGTTTGTTATTTTTTTACTATTATTATTCACACGGACAGAACTGGAGCTTGATTTTGTACGTAACCCTTTATCTAGTTGCTATTGTTGATCGAAGGCTTTATGACTTAACGGTTTTTAGGGGCTCCGAAGCTGATCTAATTAGAGGACGCCTCCTTAAGGTGCTGATGGTGATCACCAGGTGAGAATCTCACACCTCTAGTTATCTCCCCAAAACGTTAGCCGCCTTTTGAGTTTGTATATAACTATATAGGATACCGACTACCGAGTAGCTAAGTAATTTAAAGAAGATACCGTCGTACCAAGGAGGGAAAGAATTCCCATGTGTTGTTTTGTTGAAATTACCTGCGAAAATTTATTTAAATTTTCTCTTTCAATGACTTCAATCTCCATGTCTAATTCAGTAGCTCGAGTGATCCTGTTAACTGCGATACCCTGCAGAATTATTGGCCTGAATCGCACTAAATTCTGCGTATCTTTCTTATTCGTCAGTAATAAAATCAGTAAGGCCTGCTTCGCGTTTATTTCAGATATCCAATTCTTCATCTGTATATTTAAACAAAATTAATTTATTTCAATTTTGCCGACTTCCTTTATACCGACTTTTAAAGGAAATGACATTACCTACCTCCAATATCGAGGACAAAATTTTTTCTGAAGAATACCCATCAAAGACGCTAGAAAGCAATTTTTTGGATCCAAGAACTTGGAAGAATTCATCCATAGTTGTGATTTTATTTAGTGGTGTATAAGGATGTTTGTCCCCTGATATCAGTATATTAGTGGTTGATTTACATTTTCTATAAAGTTTATATAATCCTTTTCTTTTGACTTTGTTAAATGTAACTTGGCTTACTTCTGTGCTCTTAGTTTTGTTTGCTAGCACTGTATTTACGTATTCTATACATTTTATAGGAGCTTTGACTCGTAATCTTTTGTTGACATTGCCTTTTGGCGATGCTTTGAACAATGAATCAATTTTCACGTTGTTTACAGTTACTGCGACATTTTTTAGTACAGCATTATAATTTGTCAGCGACACATTTAATTTAATATTTTGGTCACCATATTGCAGTTGAAGCATTTCGAAATAAGAGCATAAATTGAAATGTATTTGTAAGTTGTAATTATACCATAAACTTTTCATCATATCAATAAGATCACAGGATGAGAAAGCTGCAGTTATTCTGTTAGTAGTAGTAGTGTACATTGCCAAAGTAGTGCAAGTAGGTGGTACTAAATCAGTTACGGGTCCATTTGAAGGTAAATGCAACTGTTCATATTTGCAACTGTTCAGTTCAACAGCTATTGGACTCACTTCATACTGCAGTAAATCGTCCAACGAAACCTGGGGTAATAGATCGGTCACGAAACAACTGTTGTAATCAATTTGAAAAACGTTTTTCTTAAATATTGGTTTAATCAGGGCTTTATTTGAAAAACTTCCTTCGAAACTTCTTCTCAATTTGGATGTTGAGAGATCACTTAATATTTTGAAATTCAGGGATTCAGCATTTTCATACCGAGCTTGTTCCGTTATCGTGGATAAACAGGACTCTGTTTTTGTTGGACATATTGTGAAGGAGTTTTCTGTGCTTATATTTGTATTTGTTGAATTGATGATATTGTTCATCATTTTCGGTAGAATACTGCATATCTCCGCAGGTAACATACCATTAAAAATGGTTGTTTTGCATTTGTATACTTTCGTATGGCTATCTGTTACCTCTAATGGGATTAAAGGTAAAGTTTTAGTGATACTAGTAGTACTTTTGGTGTCCTTAGCTGGAACTGTTACGTCAAACTGCACCATAACGTTCGTCATACAGTGTTTCACTGCAATTTGGTTTGTATTTAGCGTTTTGATTTCAAGTACAGGTTGTGTATGATTAAACCCTGGTATATTAGGAAGTTCTATTAGATCATGCACAAGATCTGTATCACTATCATAACTCTGTGTAGAATCTGAAAAATCGCACAATGATCCAGTTTGTACTGAGACTTCTTTTAAATCTAAAACGGAGAATATAATATTAATACACCTTAATTACATTATTAAACTTTGTTAATGTCGAAACAAAGTTTAAATATACTAATATAATCAATAATTATGTTACCAATTGGAAATATCTGACTAAAATCTTTATGTTCTTGATTGTAATAAACTCCGTTTCGTATTTTCCTTATAACATTTTCTATGAAATCACTCGCCCATTTCGCTTTGGCCCAAGGATATGTATAAATTTGGGGTTTCTTGTTTCTCCCCACCACTGGAAACGAGTTAGGAACAGCTTTTCTCTTAGTCACATCATTAAGAACCGAAGGATTTGTAGGCTTCAGTTCAATTTCAGTGGTAACCAATTTATTTTCGGTGATAACTGGGCACTTGGATTTGCTTTCAACATTTTGATCAGTGTTTGAATTAGCGGTGCGATTTGAAGTCTTTTTATATAAAAAGTTCAACATTTTGTCTTTCAATTGTACAATCGATTTTTGCTTCTTAGAACATTGCAATAACTTAACAGCTATGTCAGTAGAAGGTGGATGTTTAACTTCAACTTTCTTCTTATTTGCAGGAGCTGTTACAATAGTTACAGTTTTCTTGTCCGTGCAAGTTACCGGCGATGGTTTGGGTATGGTTACTTCTATATTGGTTTTGCGCGACTTACTTGAATTTGAGTCCGACACAAAAGAAACACTTTTTTTGTTTATAGTGCTATTGTGATGTAAGGCCTTTTTAGTGTTATTCGAATACCAATCCACCATAAATGGCCATATGTGGTCTTCTAAGCCACTGAATTGTGGTGGATCGTAATCAAGTACCTTCACACCTGAACTGACTTGATCTTTTCCTAAGACGACGATTGGAAACCTGATATTCGCCAGTCTTCTTTTTACTTCAGTCTGTGTTAATTTTGGCATTATACATGAACTCGGCATTGTAGTAACCAAACGTGGTTTCCTTTCCTTAGGAGGATCACATTGTTTAGGTAAGATTGAACTAGTAGGCAACAATTGCTCTTTGGTTACGCATACTGGAGATGAGTTATTTACTAGCAAAACAGAATTTACATTTGATTTCTCTGAAAATAAATTTAGTTAATTGTTATATTATAATTATATAATCTGCACATTTTATTAGGTACCATGGTAAGGCATTGAACTAAGACATCGCTAAAGGTCGTCCCGCATTTAAAACGCACGGCTCCAACCCAGCCATTAAGGTCACCGGTGACCGCTCGATGTTGGACAGTTTAAATATGAACTTTAAATCGTATGTCGTATGACGTCAATACTATATGCCGAAGGCGAGTTGTCAGCGCGCGGTCCAGTCGAGGATTACGGCGCGCCGCTCGCGCGTCAACAGCCCGACGTCGGCGAGGCGTCGGCGAGTTGACGGCGCGCCGCCCACCAGGCGCCAGCGAAACAACGTGGTAGGTAGGTATTGTTAAAAACTTTCACCGCGCCGACGCCACCGCCGCGCCGGCCACGTGCCGCCCGCTGGTTGGAAGCACGCAGTCACTGCGCCGACGCCACGCTGGAGTCGTGCTTTTTAACTGCGGGATGTCCTTTAGAACTATGCTGTATTCTTAGCAAGAGGAAGTGACAAGTTTTAAACTGCATTAGGTAGGTATATATTATTATGATAATTTACCACCAATACTCTTTTGTTCATGCTGTTTCTGTTGTAGTTCAGCTTTGCTTGAACCTGAATAATCTGAATAAACGAAGCTTCCTTTAGTATGGCACGTACTATCATTTGTTTCAGCTTTATGTAATGATACATCAGAATTATAATTGAGTTTCAGTGTTTCAGCATCCAATAGAGAATCTCTATTTCCACTGCTACTAGTTGGTGCATTTTTACTTTGTTGATCGACAGGACGCTTTGCTTTCTTCTTCTTTTTTTTCGAAGTAGGTTTATGTTCTTTTGTTCCAACATTAGTTATAGCTTTCATATTCTTTTTGGGGCTTTTAAACCGGTTTTTAAGTTTCGGACTTTTAATTTTTGTATTAACGGTATTACTACTGTCTTTAAGAAAATCCTGCGTTTTAAGAAGTCGTTTCTCAAATTCTTTGCATATTTTACTAAATTCATTTTGTTTGTCAATAACCGTGATTCGGTCTGCACTAGAGGATGGGGAGAAAGTACGGGGAGATTTATCATCCACTTCGTAACTAGATATGTATGCAAACTCTTTGGTATGACAAGTCTCAATCACTCTGAAACATTAAATGTACACGTGAGCTCGTTAAATGTAATATTCTCCCGAAATGTTAAAATATTTTTTATATAATTCACTTAATAAATACTACTTACCGTGCATCTTTTCGATGTGGCCTTCTTTTATGTGATTTCTTTTTTACTGGTATGATGCTTTCTTCCGACGCTGGAGGTGATGGCCTAAACTGAAACTTGTTTATATTTCTAAGCACGGTCCAAACATCACTCAGGTTTCCAGATATACCTGATTGAGGTTTACAAGATGATATTTTTTTCTTGGTGAACACTTTACTGCCGTCTCCATTGAAATTTTTCAGCATGTCTGTCGAGCTACAATCTAGATCTATGTTTAATTGGGAACAAAATCGTGCGTCTCTGTCGAAAAATTCAAAATCTTTTTGTCGCACTCGAGTCTTCCTGTTATTTTGAGTTGGATTACGCTTTTTAATTACTTTCTGTTTGCGATCTAGGCTCAGTTTTTCGCAATATTCCGAATCATTCATATCACTTACTGTGCATATTTGTGGCGTTGGAGCCGGATCGTTTGGAAGAGTTAGCACAGATTTTTTAACTTTCTTAACTTTTTTTGGTGATTTGAATTCATCAGAACTTGCCTTGTAAATATTTACTGCCAACGGAAAAGACGAAACAATATCAGTTGTTTTTTGATGAACCATTCGTTTTTCTGTAACTCTTGAAAGTAATTGAACTCTGTCGTTAGCCAGATACGGAGACCGGGAGTTGTTCTTTTTAGATTTATTGGTACGCCTACTAGCATTGCTTGACAAGCTTCTGTCCGTCGCTATGTTTATTTTTAATAATCGACATGAATTTCCTCCTTTCGAACTAATTGCTGAACAAGTTGATTCAATTGGTACTTTATTTATATTACACGAAATATCGAATGAAGTTATAGCCATGTTTTATTATGAGTTTGATTCTGGTGGCGGTTAAACAAAATCTACTAATCTGAAAGAAATCAATCATTAGATAAGTCAATGAAGTTTAGGTCAGGCATTTAAACTGACTACCTACAAATAGCCTAATAACAATCATTCTACCACCTTTCCTACTGTATTAAGGTGCTTTCAAACTGAGCTGTACCAGCACCTAGAAACTTACCTTTATATTTCGATGCCTTTAATCATGAAAGACTTGAATGAAGAATTAAACATAATAAAGGGAGCAAATACAGAGTTGTTACATATTTTATTTAATACTTACAGATTTTCTCACAATAATTTCGACTGCTGACCGCAGAGACCAAAATGAAACCACCCTCTACATGGAACTACACTTATAGTTAAGAAATTAATTTTAAAAGCCAATCAAAGAAAATATAAAATAAGCCATTGACATTATCATGTAATTGACATCTTGCATTTTCGAATACTGCAAAAATCATGTACAAAAAGGAATACAATATTATTTGGCAATTTGTTTACTGCCAGTACGAGTATTGCAAAGTGTTCAGCCTACAGTAAAATCTAATTAGTAATTTTCAATGAAATAACCGTGTTGAGTGGAAAACAGATAAAATGTTTGTGCATCGTATCAACAAATCACATTTCCAAAGTAAGTATATTGCAATTTATTCCTTTAGCGTGATAATCATGAGTAAATCCATTTGAGAAGTTAAGATTCAATCGTATTTTGTATTAGAAAAACCGAAAGTTTAAAACTGTATCCGTCCAATCCCTATAGTAACAACTGTATTTATGTCACATTCTCCAATGACACTGTCATTGGATTAATAATGTCATGTCACGCTGACCGCTGAACTGACAAATAACATTCCGCAACTGTTTTGCTTGTTGTTTGCATTGTAATGTTCAAGTTCAAACGATAATAAGTGAATTTTAATAAGCAAATAAGTATTGCAGGCTCCGAAGAATAATAAAGAAAATGGCAGCTTCGGAAAATCAAGAAGGAATAATACAATATGTGCCGTTCATGTCTTTTGTGCACCCATCTTTCTGGCACAGTCTTACTGAAATGAAACTCGATGTTGATAAATTGAATGAGAATACGAAGCAGATTTGGGGTCGATTTACCTACCGCAGCTCTATAGGAGCCGTTTTCGAAGTTGATGGCACGTCATTCAATAAGTAGGTGGCACTTCTAATCAATCTCTTCTAAGTAGCTGCTATTGTAGTTGTTTAATTTCATTATTGAATTAATTTAGATACCTTTATTTCTTTTTTATTATTATTTGAACCACTTAGTTAATCTTATTTAGAGAATATGCCTTATTTTTCGTCTAGTTTTCGTATACCTAAACTGTACTGAAAATACTTTTGATAATCCATTTCATAATATAAACCACTAGCTTAACCAAGTTCTTCCATAACAATAGGTTTTGTGGTAAGTTTAAAACCGCACCATTAGTATGTAGTCATTTAGTGTGATTATAAAATTATGGATTTCATTAGTGGTTATTTAAAGTATCAACAATTTATTTACAAATATTATTTATTTCAGAGTTCCAGAAAATGAACAATTATACACTAATATTAAGGGTACAATAATGAACAAGAATACAATAGAAGAGTTCAAATCTATTGACAAGGCTGCTCTATTAAACTCAGTTGGAAAAGAACTATGGGCTAGTCTTCAAGACAAATCATGGATTTCTAAGCCTAGCAGTTTATTGAAGTTCATCATATTGTCTTTTGCTGTAAGTTTAATATTCATATTGCGTTCGATCATTGCAACGGTTGAAAGGCAAATTGATCTAAGCAACATTTTTTTGCAATGTTGACTTATATATCGAGGGGTAACGGGCTATTTGGTTTAAGCGACATTTTGGGCGATATTGAGTTATTATATATATTCGATGGAGAAAAATTCGCTGATTCCGAATATATATATAACTCAATATCGCCCAAAATGTCGCTTAAACCAAATAGTCCGTTACCCCTCGATATAATGTATCTTATACATCATTCAATCCGATGGATAAAAATTCACTGATTCTGAATATACATACATAATATATGTTTTAAATGTCATTTGGATTACTAAATATGAAGAAATGCAAGCTTTTTCGTTATTTAATTAATGTATTTATTTACTTTCCAGGATCTTAAAAAATTTCACTACTATTACTGGTTTGCATTTCCTGCTCCTAGTCAGCCCACAGTTTATGTAAAGAATAAGAGTGCCAACATAACAACACAGTTTGATACCAACCAAATAGCTCAAATTACACAGAGCTATAAATCTCTAGAATTAGAACAAAAATGCTTCTTCGCTATTGTTAAGAACAATGATACAATACAATTGAAAACTTTGTCAGATCTGTTAGATACAAAGGATGGTTTACAAAAAGATGTTGATGTATCTAGTACCTATTTTGTTTTTAATGATCCAAGTAGTGGAGATAATCCTGGATGGCCATTAAGACTGTTCTTGGCGGCCCTGTTGGAACATTGTCCGAGTTTAGTTGGGTCTGAGATTAAAGTTATAGGTCTGAGATGTAGTGCAACTGGTGGTGTAGAAAACAGTCATTCTTTTACAGTCGTGGTACCTAAGGTCAGTTTGGAAATTTTTAGTTTTTTTTTTATACAGATTCTTGTGCTATAATGTAATAAAGAAATATTTGTTTATTTTCTTAGGATGTTAAGGCTGTTGATGCTGCTGGTTGGGTGGGATGGGAAAGGAATGATAAAGGGAATTTTGGACCTAAGCTTGCCAATATGTCCTCTTCTTTAGACCCTGTAATGTAAGTTTTACAAGTGTGGTACTTTGATATGTATTTATCTTGAAAGATTGTCTTTACTTTTGCCATTGTAAGAATCTCTTCATCAGTAATGTTGTATTACAAAATTTATTTATTTATTTATTTATTTAAGCACATATTACAATTGTCATTACAGACTACGTCTAATGCGACAAAGTAACTTGACATAAGATAAAATTTTAGCAAACAATGTTTTAGCAAAAATAAAAAAGAAGTATACCGACTACTATATCTCATCTACATCTTACAAACTACGTAGTACGTAACCTTCGTGAACTCACTCAGTGTACAGGTGAATATGTCTATATTATCTGCCACTGTGTTGAGAGTGCGCAGCGCGCGAGTCAGCGGCGCGCGATAGAGGAGGTTAGTGCGCGCGCGCGGCACCACAAACAGTCGCGGCCGGCGCCTCCGCGCAATGCACTCATCCGGTACACAAAATCCTAATTGTGCTAGTATCCCACAGTGTTGTATACTACCTCTTAAAATTTTAAAGAGGTACACGGTTAGTGCCACTTCTCTCCTAGCTTCTAAACTATAGTATCCTACCATGCCCAAACAGAATAATGTAGGATATAAAAATGGGTAACCCGGATATACTCCATACAACTTTAGATATAGAAATCGAATGAATTTGTTATGAATTTTTTCAATCATATCTTTATATTTTGTTTCACTCGGACTCCAAACGGCCGCGCTGTATTCGAGATGACTCCTCACAAGAGCTTCGTACAATGCTCTCAGAGCAATGATGTTCGTAAAATCATTTGCCTGACGCAGCACAAAACCCAGATTCCTGAACGCCTTTTTACAAATGTGCACCACATGTGCACGAAACTGTAAATCACTTGTGAAATTAATCCCAAGGTCCCTTACCTCCGTGATACGCTGCAGCGGCTTCCCGTTCATGATGTACTCGTGGTGTTGAGGGTTACGTGTGCGTGTGAATGAAAGCACTGAGCATTTAGATACATTAAAGTATAATTTATTGGAGTGACTCCATTCTGTGACCCTGTCCAAGTCGTTCTGCAACGCATCACGATCAAAGGCTTTTTCTATGGTAGTGGACAACTTCAAGTCGTCAGCAAATAATAGGCATGTTGAAGTTACTACCTTTGGCAAATCGTTTATCATAATGATAAATAATAAAGGTCCCAAATTACTACCCTGACTGACGCCCGATCTGGTGTAGTAAGGCTCCGAGAGGCGTCCGGCACAGTCAACATACTGACGTCTATCTCGAAGATAACTGGCAAAGAACTTCACAGTATGATATGTGCAGCCCATACCTGCTAACTTCAACAATAATATGTCGTGGTCGACCGTGTCGAACGCCTTCTCGAAGTCCAGGTAGGCCACGTCCACCTGTAACCCGACATCAACAGCTGGTACCAACTGTGACATCAGGTGCAGCAGGTTTCCTGTAGTGCTACGTCCAGGTCGGAAGCCGTGCTGCGCTTCAGACAAATGTACGCCCATCTGTGTATAGAGATCGGTGTGAATAGACATCTCGAACACTTTAGCTGGCGCGCTCAGTACTGCAATTGGCCGAAAGTCACTGACGCATGTACCACCCCGACCCTTTGGTATAGGCACCACACGCGTCAGCTTCCAACGATCAGGAAAATATGCTTCCGATAAGCAAACATTAAATATGTGATGTAAGGGATCTACTAGTACCTCACGGCAGTCTCTTAAAATGAAAGGTGGAATACCGTCCGGACCCACCGAGCGCTTAGGCGGCAAGCAGGTGAGCGCGCGCCGGACGGCCGCCCGCTCGAGACGCGCGATGTGCGTATATGCACCGCTCGGCGTCGCCCCCCCGCACGCCGCCTCCGCGCTCAGTGTGCCCGCCGTCGTACTGTACACAGACTGAAAAAATAATGCATACTCCCTAGCAGACTCTTCACTTGATAGAACTCGTCCTTCTTTAATCAACTTGCAATGTTTAGATGAGTCTTTTTTGGACCTTACGTAGTTCCAGAATGATTTTGGGTCTACAGCAAGATGGTTCTGTACTCTATCTTTGTACTGTAAAAAACAATTAACCGTTTCTGCCTTCACCTTAGCCCGACACTGAGAGAAAGCCTTATAATCAATTGGGGATTTAGATTCTTTGTATATTTTATGTAATCTATATTTTAATTTTATCTGTTTAATCAGGTCTGAGTTATACCATTCTGGATATATTCTTTTACTATTATTTTTAGTTTTTAAAGGAATGCTAGATGCAAAGGTTTCATATATTTTATCATAATAAAAGGTTAAGGCCAAATCTGGATCGCTAATATTGTACAAATTTGTCCAGTCTATTGAATTAATTAAATAATATAACCAACTGTAATCTGCTTTTCGAAAATTCCATTTAATGTATTGTATATGAGAGTGGAGTTGTGATTCACAAGATGTGGA